ACCATGTTGACCAGGATCGCCTCGATCTCTTGACCTCATGATCCACCCGCCTCGGCCTCCCAAAGTGCTGGGATTACAGGCTTGAGCCACCGCGCCCGGCCCTAATTTTGTATTTTTAATAGAGACGGAGTTTCTCCATGTTGGTCAAGCTGGTCTCGAACTCCCAGCTTCAGGTGATCCACCCGTCTCCGCCTCCCAAAGTGCTGAGATTACAGGCATGAGCCACCGCGCCCCGCCTCAATTTCTTTAATGGTTCTAGATGTTGACTTTTCTGTTTCTTCCTAGTTCATTTTTATGAAGTTATATTTTTCTTTTGAAACGGAGTTTCTCTGTTGCCCAGGCTAGATTGCGGTCACTTGATCTTGGCTTTCTGCAACCTCTGCCTCCCAGGTTCAAGTGATTTTCCCTTCTCAGCCTCCTGAGTAGCTGGGATTACAGACATGGGTCACCAGTCCTGGCTAATTTTTGTGCTTTGAGTAGAGTTGGCGTTTTACCATGTTGGCCAGGCTGGACTCGAACTCCTGTCCTCGGATGATCCACCTGCCTTGGCCTCCCAAAGATCTGGGATTACAGGCGTGAGCCACCGCACCCAGACTGAAGTTATATTTTTTTTATAAAATGGTCTGTTTTGATACTTTCACAAATAGCTGGCATAAAGTTGTTTATGTAATTTCCTTATGATTTTTGTCTTAACATTTTTTTTATTTTTTATTTTTTTGAGACTGAGTCTTGCTCTATTGCCCAGGCTGGAGTCCAGTGGCCTGATCTCGGCTCACTACAACCTTTGCCTCGTGAGTTTAGGGGAATCTTGTGCCTCAGCCTCCCGAGCAGCTGGGATTACAGGTGTCTGCCACCTTGCCTAGCTAATTTTTGTATGTTTGGTAGAGACAGGGTTTCACCATGTTGGCCAGGCTGGTCTCTAGCTCCTGACCTCCAGTGATCCGCCAGTCTCAGCCTCCCAAAGTGCTGGGATCACAGGCGAGAGCCACCACACCCAGCCCATTTATTTCTGAACAGACAATACATTTGTGAAACCCATCTCTACTAAAAACACCAAATTCACAGGCATGGTGGTGCATCCTTTAATCCCAGGTACTCAGCAGGCCAAGACAGGAGAATCGCTGAAACCCGGGAGGCAGAGGTTACAAGGACCTGAGATCACGCCATTGCACTCCAGCCTGGGCAACAAGAGCGAAACTTTGTCTCAAAAAAGCAAAAACGAAAAACCAGAATAGCCAGCAACCCATAACAGCACGCGTTTTGTAGATGAGAAACCTGGGATGCAAAGACACAGCTAGTGAATGGTGGAATCAGGATTCAAATTCAGGCTGCCTAGTCATGAGGACCATATTCAGAGAATTAAAGGAAATTGTTTTGTTTTGATTTTTTTTTCTTCAGGTTCCAGGGTGTGTGTGCAGGACGTGCAGGTTCTTTACATAGATGAACGTGTACCATGGTGGTTTGCTGCACAGACCAACCCATCACTTAGGCATTTAGCCCAGCATCCATTAGCTGTCCTTCCTGATGCTTTCCCTCCTCACAGCCCCACCCCTCGACGAGCCTCGGTGTGTGTTGTTTCCCCGAAATGTGTCCATGTGTTTTCATCGTTCAGCTCCCACTTATAAGTGAAAACAGGCAGTGTTTAGTTTTCTGTTCCTGCGTTAGTTTGCTGAGGTTAACAACTTCTAGCTTCATTCATGTCCTTGCAAAAGACATGAACTTGTTTCTTTCTTTTTTTTGTGTGTGTGTGAGATGGAGTTTCATTCTTGTCGCCCAGACTGGAGTGCAATGGCGCGATCTCGGCTCACTGCAACCTCTGCCTTCCGGGTTTAAGCAATTCTCTTGCCTCAGACTCCTGAGTAGCTGGGATTACAGGCGCCCACCACCACGCCCAGCTAATTTTTTGTATCATTAGTAGAGACCGGGTTTCACTGTTGGTCAGGTTGGTCTCGAACTCCTCACCCCGTGATCCCCCCACCTCAGCCTCCCTAACTGCTGGGATTACAAGTATGAGCCACCGTGCCCAGCCCAGATAGGCTCTTAATGTGAGGTTTTATGGGAATCTGGAGGAGTTAGGCTGTACTCATATTGTCACTGTAGGTGTCAGAAGCTAAAAGGGATTCTGATGTCTTTTTTATTATTTATTTATTTTTTTGAGACGGTGTCTCTCTCTGTCGCCCAGGCTGGAGTGCACTGGCACAATCTCAGTTCATTGCAACCTCTGCCTCCCAGGTTCAGGCGATTCTCCTGCCTAAACCTCCCTAGTATCTGGGACTACAGGCGCCCGACACCATGCCCAGCTAATTTTTTGTATTTTTAGTAGAGATGGGGTTTCACCATGTTGGCCAGGCTGGTCTTGAACTCCTGACCACAGGTGATCCACCTACTTTGGCCTCCCAAAGTGCTGGGATTACAGGCGTGAGCTACCACGCTTGGCCATGTTTTTGTCTTCCCTGTTGTTTTGGGGGTTCACTAGAGACTTCTTCGTCACAAGGTCTGAGACTGGCAGTTACTTCTGTTGCACTCCCTGTAACATACAGGTGTCCTGAGGATGGAGTGGCTGGTGCGGTGTGGAGGGAGGGAAGTGTTCTCTAGTCCTGTGATGAGGCTTCTAGGGAGTCTGGGGCCCTGTGCTGCGCCCTCCAGAATGCCTCTCAGTTTTCCCCTCTTTGCTGAGATTGAAAGGATAGAGGTTTGGCATTTCCCTTTCCCAGGCTGGCAGTGTTCTGCAAAAATAGTTTTCCTTGAGGGCAGTTTTATCTTTTACTCTTTAAAAAACATTTTTTTCTTTTCAAGGTTTCTGGTGCAGCAGGTGGTATTTGGTTACATGAGTAAGTTCTGTCACGGTGATTTGAGATTTTGGTGCACACATCCCCTGAGTAGTCTACACCGAACCCAATTTGTAGTCCTTTGTCCCTCACCCCGTTTCCACCCTTTCCTCCTGAG